GGGTCACATCATACATGAGATATAAAATTAGCCTATGTACTGCTGGCCCTGGCTACACCGTTGACCAAACTATATAGCCATTTACTGTAGTAAAAAAGTACAGCTGTATTTAAAATAAACATGATATTCATAAAACTGATGTTTTAACTGTATCCAATAATAATGCATGTAATATTCATTTATTAGTATCGTATTATAAAATACAAACATGGCGAATATACATCTTTTTCATTGTTTACGTTTATAAAAAGTTTAGCTGTTTCTCGTTCGGTTGTCTATGGCTGGACGCGTTTACGCAATGAGTATAGCGTTACTAACGATATTTTTATCATTCTCTTTGACTTTTTTAATTTATTAAACTAGAAGTTGGGATAAAGAGATAGTGGAAAAGAGGTTAGTCTATTGTAATTTGGTCTCTCAAAAAAGGAACTCGCATGATACACGAGATACATGAAATCATAACATATTCTCTTCTTGCGTTTTTATAACCGAAAATTTGGGGGTCGCACGATACATGAGATAGCACGTTACATGAGATAGCACGTTACACGAGTATATACGGTAGCTACAGTTCTAATATTGCAACATGTTTTATGTTATTTACACTATTTACATTGTTTGGACTGCTGTCCTCATCTTTATTGCCATATTCATGACGTTTCGGCCGCTGTACGATCCGGCCTTCTTCAAGTGATATCAGGTTGGAATTTCGAATCTAACCCTTTATTTAGTTCACCAGAGTAGATTGCTCTGATTCCAAAGGGAATGCACTGAAACTGAGATATGCAAAAAGAAAAAAAAATGGCTTGTGGAATTAGAACAGCCTACCCTAGCGGACTGAATAAAGGGTTCGGTCCGAAATTCGAACGTGATATCACCTGAAGAAGGCCGGAGTGTATAATGACCGAAACGTCTTGAATATGGTTATAAGGAAATTAGCCCGATCTAAATAGTGTAAATAGTTAGAATAAGTCATCTCGGAAACATGGACAAAAAATAAATACTTTTTTTTTTTTTTTTTTTTACCTACAGTTTTTCTTTATATCACAAATGGAAAAACGGTTTTCAATATTCAACTCAAAATATTTTTTTGCTTCTTTAATGGCCTTGTTATTTTATATTCTTTATCGTCCTTATAGGCGAGAATAAAGGTCTCATTGTTTTGAATAAGAATGTCTTTTATTTTAAACTAGCCTAGAAGCCGTCCTGTAGAGAGGTTTTGGGCCTTCAGGCTTTTGCCTTTAGTGTCCTATGTACGCAAAAAATTATAACAATTTAGAAAGTTATTTTATCTTTATTCGACACCATAATTCGGCATAATCTTTCTTCGCATACGCAACTGATTTACGTAGTTTGTTTACATTTATTTTGCTTTTTTTGCTTTTCTTTTAAAATCATCATTCTTTATGATCCATTCACATAAAGTCACTCTGAAAAGACATTAGGAAACCCAAACTATGTAATATTTCGAATACGTCGAAGTCCACGTACTAGGAAAACAAAACAAAAAAAATGAGCAACGTACCGTACCCCGGTTAAGTTTTAATTAAAAAAATCAAAAAACGGACGGACATGCGTACACTGAGCTTTATTTATATGGAAGAAGATGAATATTATTTTGAATACAGGTATCTGTCTTAATGAATAACTTTGTAATAACACCGGCATTTTATTAAAACATGCTTCAGGAAGCTTTTATAACTTTCTCTTGTCATAACGAAAACTTGAACAACAGTTTTCACTTTCCCCTCACAGACAGTTGTCGTCACCTTTGTAAAACCCAATAATTTCATCCATGTATTTGTTAAAAAAGTATAAAAATAATACAAATCCTTATCAGTATATATATAAAAAAAATCCAACCCTTAACAACATAGACTATGAACACGGCCATAATGTACTGGTTGTGTTCGGGAATTAAAAATATATACGCATTTCAGCAACTTCCATACCATTTACAATAGCACAATCAAGATTCTTCGAAATGGTTAATAGACATGTCGAAATCGATCGGAATGAAAATCATTTTTCTACATTCTACACAAAGTTTTATTCTCGGATGGATTTTATTTAAGTCAAATGTAAGGATTTTATTTTGCAACGCGTATTTATAAACACACGTCGCCATATTTATTACAACGTTTCGACCGTTGTACGATTCCGGCCTTCTTCAGGTGGTTGGAATGTCGAACTGAACCATTTATTTCGCTCACTGGGTCAGACTGTTCTAGTTCCACGTGCCATGTTTAATGGAAGTCAGTTATCAGTTATCTCTTGTTAATTCCCGTCTCCAAGTTCTCCACTGACAAAGATGAAGACAATAGTCCGAATAATGTAAATAGTGTACATAATGCCTCATCTCAGAAATATAGACAGACACCTCGAGGTAGCTTATCTTGCTAGAAAAATTACGACTGAGTAGTGAGTTCGATCCTCACTGGATGCGCCATATTTTCGGCCTTGTGCCACAACTGAGCTATGTTTAGTAAATCATTTTACTGCAGTATTTTGCAAATAATATTTTTCAAGACAATATTTAAAAATTGCTAGAATAAAATTTCATCTTCCATCTTATATTTATGCTTACGTCCCTGTGAAGTTTTTCGAAAGTAGAAACTTTTTTTTTTTAAGCATTACGCCCCGAGAGGCGTGAAGCCACTAGGATGCAGGGGGTTGCAGAAGATTTGGAGCAAGAGCAGATAGGAGTGATAGAAGAAAGGATGAGGAGAGGGATAGTGGATAGATCAAGGTAACTGGAGATGTCGATTGACATTACATTTGAATAGTTGGAGATTATAGCTCTCAGGGAAACAGTAATTGGGAAGGGTGTTCCATAGGCGAGAGGTGCGACGTATGAAGCTATTGGAGTAGAAGAGACGGCTACATTTAAAAGTTTCTACAGTGTAAGGGTGGGAGTGGGATGACAGCCTCATAGGGGAACCAGTAAAAGCAGCTCATAAATTTCCAATTTAAATATATGTTATGCATGAAGTCAGTTTTTAAACTATTAGCTCGTTACTAATTACAAACTTGACAGTTTTCCGCTTGAAAGTAATAGTTTGCGAAACTAACTCGCCCGGTATCGATTCCCAGCCAAGCGCCATTGTTCATACGTGTTAAACTGAATTAAATTTTCACAAGATGGTGTCTTACAAGCGTCTACAATAATGGCGTCAGTGATCATCGTTCAAGAACCAGGATTTGAAAGAAGTCGGGTGAAACAAAATATTTCTTCCCTTATTGAACACCTTACTCCTACCATTTGATCCCGTGGCGTACTAAGTTAACTTTTGTGAAGATCTAATAAATAAATAAATAAATAAAACTAATATAGATTGTTTTTTCTTTTCCTCCCCATCATTCTTTTCATTTACCCGCCACCTCTGGTACACCTCTGCGCCACACTTTTCTTAGAACTGATATTTTGCTTCTGTTTTTCGTCTCCCATAGTAACGACCATCTTGGTAACACATCAACCTGTTTTAGCGATGCAAAGGAGACGATATAGTGGCCGCCATGTTGAATAACAAAACAACTTTTCTTTTATCCACATTTCGGGGCCCTGTGTTGTTTGCAATGCAAAACCCATTCCTCTTACGCAATGTTCTAACAGTATTTAGAATATGGAGCAGTATAGGGGCGTATCTACCAAAAATAGCGCCTCTGGCAAAAACTGAAATAATGCCCCCTCTCCAAACATCTGATACTGCAACATTTTATATAAGATATTAGCATATTTATTTTTTTAATCATCCCAGGAAAGGCAATAAAGCCACTAAGTCGCAAGGAGGGTTACTGACTATTAGAGAATGTGAAAAAACCCATACTATTATGGAAAGAGGACAATAAAAGAACAACAATTAAGAAGATAACAATTAACATTGCATTTAAATTTTTGAAGCTCAAAGGCAATAAAGCCACTAGGACGCAAGGGGGTTACTGAGTGTTAGAGAATATGAAAAAACTACTATTAAAGAGAGAGGACAATAAATGAATAATAATTAAGAAGACGGAAGATAACGATTAACATTGCATTTAAATTTTTAAAGATCAAAGTTGACAGGAAGGCAAGAAGCCGGAAGAGAATTTCTACAAGTGAGAAGTGTGTGATAGAAGAAACTGTTTGCATAGAACTTACGGTTGCATCGAGCAATTTCAACTGTAAAATGATGAAGCCTTGTCGCGAATCTGTGCTTAAATTCATAAAGTCTAGGTAGCAAAGAGGAAAGCTCATCAGAACAATTAGCATGAAAATATTTATAGAAAAGACTCAGGGAAGCAACATTACGGTGATAGAAAAAAGCCTGAAGCCGAAATGCCAGGTCAAGACCAATAACATTGCAGATTTATCAAGAATCTCTAAATATATAGCAGGAGAACCAAATCAGATGTAGCAGCTTCAAATAAAGGATAAATGGTAAACTTATAAAGATGTAAAACAGATTTCGTCGTGAAAATTTTGAACCAATTTTCTTAGCTGCAGACTTAGCAATTAATTCAATATATATTTTCCACTTCATGTCAGCTGAAAACATTAGTCTGAGAAGACGCAAAAAGAGCCACTCTACTATTGGTTACCACCAGCCGTGTTGATAACAGGTAAGACGTGTTCTCTCAGACGATTAAAAAAAAGAGTAGTTTTTGAGGCGTTGAAATGAACAATTTTTTAACAATTGAATTAGCCAAAACTTAAAAGTTAAACTTTTTAATTAACAAATAATGACACCATATGACTTCATTTCAGTCACTGATCCAAATTGATCTATTCTTTTTGTTGTTCCTACTTCTACCCTCATATGATGAAAATCCCACAGTCTTGACGCAGGATTTTCTACTTTTGAGAAGCGCTTGAAGAATCTAATCATTCCAGTGCTTTTCAAATCAGAATGGTAATCAAAGACGGTTTTAGCATTTGAAGAAATTAATTTTCTAAACCAGAAAATGGCTGGTCTGACTTGAATATCTATCTCATTCTGTTCATATCTATCTATCTATCTCAGTTTGTCCATATCTATCTATCTATCTATCTATCTATCTATCTCAGTTTGTCCATATCTATCTATCTATCTATCTATCTATCTATCTCAGTTTGTCCATATCTATCTATCTATCTCAGTTTGTCCATATCTATCTAAGTTTGTCCATATCTATCTATCTATCTATCTATCTATCTCAGTTTGTCCATATCTATCTAAGTTTGTCCATATCTATCTATCTATCTATCTCAGTCTGCCCATATCTATCTATCTATCTATCTATCTCAGTTTGTCCATATCTATCTATCTATCTAAGTCTGCCCATATCTATCTATCTATCTATCTATCTATCTAAGTCTGCCCATATTCATTCATCTATCTATCTATCTATCTAAGTCTGCCCATATTCATCTCATCTATCTATCTAAGTCTGCCCATATCTATCTATCTATCTAAGTCTGCCCATATCTATCTATCTATCTATCTAAGTCTGCCCATATCTATCTATCTATCTATCTATCTATCTAAGTCTGCCCATATCTATCTATCTATCTATCTAAGTCTGCCCATATCTATCTATCTATCTAAGTCTGCCCATATCTATCTATCTATCTATCTAAGTCTGCCCATATCTATCTATCTATCTATCTAAGTCTGCCCATATCTATCTATCTATCTATCTATCTATCTATCTATCTATCTCAGTCTGTCCCTATTTATCTATCTGAATCTGCTGGTATTTATGTTTGTTCATATCACGTGACCTTGGTAAATATGTCACCATGTTTCTTTTTGTCCTTCCTCATCATTCATTCAATTCTGAAGTGCCGACAAATAAAAATCAGGGAAGGAAATCTTGTTTCCTAAATTAGAAAATAATGTTGACATGATGTCACGTTGACTCTTACATTCACTTCCCTCGCGAACCAGACACACACACACGTGTGTGTGTGTGTGTGTGTGTCTGGGTGAATTCTCCTTCCGATACATTTCTGAAAATCTGACCAAATGACTAAAAATCAGGTTTATTTTTTTATTTTTTGAATTAGCTGGTTTAACCAGCACCTCAACTTCAATTTCTCACCAAATAGTTACTTGGATTTTGACATGAAACTTTATCCCTATAATGACCAACTTAAAGATAAAAAGAGAAACATTGGTTAAAGTGCATTGACAAGGCAGGCTATTATTATTTTTTAAATGCGTTCGTTTTTCAGTATTTGATTACAGAATTAACGTGTCTACTCAAATCATTCTGTTCATTATCTATCTATCTATCTATCTATCTAATTCTATTCATTATCTATCTATCTAATTCTATTCATTATCTATCTATCTAATTCTATTAATTATCTATCTATCTATCTATCTAATTCTATTCATTATCTATCTATCTATCTATCTAATTCTATTCATTATCTATCTATCTATCTATCTAATTCTATTCATTATCTATCTATCTATCTATCTAATTCTATTCATTATCTATCTATCTATCTATCTCATTCTGTTCATTATCTATCTTTATTCATATCTATCTATATATTTTTTCTATCTATATTCCTATCTATCTTTGTGATATAAAGCCTGTTTTTAAGAGAACACTTTTATTTTATAATTTTGAAAAGTTAGAATTTGCTTGCAATACATTCAAATCAATATATATATATATATATATATATATATATATATATATATATACACGTATGTATATGTGTTATTTCAAATGTAATTATAGTGGATAATTTTATTTCAATTAGTCTTTTGAAATTGAAATATTTGACATTATATATATATATATATATATATATATATATATATATATTTGCGTGTGTGTGTTTTTAATTGAAAATTGTGATATTAATGAATATATTTGAAAAGAAAAAAATTATAAACTGAACTGACAAAATAGGAAAACTTCTTTTAGGCATGGCATTACTTCCTTCTTAAATTTTATCAAAGGCAAAATACAGAGATTTAGTGAAACAAAAAAAAAATAAAAATAAATAAAACCTGTCATCTCTACATTTTGCCTTTGAGGAAGTTCCTTTTGTTAGTTCAACACACACACACACACACACATATATATATATATTTATATTGTACACCAGGTATTTGAGGACACAATTTTAACAGTGTTTACGGCCACATCACGTTGAAACATTGGTTCCCGTACTATCACCTAAGTTAAGCAATATCGAGCCTGGTCAGTACCTAGATGGGTGACCGCTGGGGAATAACAGGTACTGTAAGCTTGGATGTGCGGTTGGTGTAATGGATAATAGCTCGGAATTGTAAAACGGAGAGCCGAGTTCAAATTTACGTTCGGTTCATTATATTCACTTACGCGCAAAAACCCTTGGGAAAGATAGGAAAGATATGAATTCATCTTTTCTCCGCACCCCAGCTATGGGTTAATTAGTAAGTCTTGCATCACTAAACCATTATTATCTAAAAAAAAAAAAAAAACCTTACGATGTCAAAATATTTTCTGGCTTTAAATAACCTGCAAAGGGTTGATAAGCCGTAAAAAACGAATCAACCAATCAATGAAATACTGATTAGCTACACAGGCATGTCTTTTAGATTTATTTACATTCTCTGGAATATAAATGTATAGAAACTACCGTGGCCTCAAAGTGAGGGATCAGTTTATATATTGATTGTAATATAGAATTGATCCCCCACTTTATATTTACATTATAATTCATTTGTTGATAAGCCATAGAAAACGAATCAATCAATCAATGAAATACTGATTAGTTACACGGCCATGTCTTTTAGATTTATTTATATTCTCTGGAATATGAATTTATAGAAACTACCATGGCCATAAAGTGAGGGATCAGTTTATATATTGATTGTAATGTAGAATTGATCCCCTACTTTATATTCACATTATAATTTCTTTCTTGTTGATAAGCCGTAGAAAATGAATTAATCAATCAATGAAATACTGATTAGCTACACAGGCATGTCTTTTAGATTTATTTACATTCTCTGGAATATGAATTTATAGAAACTGGCCACAAATTGAGGGATCAGTTTATATATTAATTGTGATATAAAAATAATCTCACTTTATATCCTTTATATCTATAATATAATTTCTTGATTTTTATCAAATTCTGATTACCTATGAATCTACTTCTCCCCCAAGCTATGGGTTAATTAATAGGATTTTTTTTATCATTACGTACTCTTAAGATTTTCATTTCTCTTTACGACGTTTCGAGAGCATTGACATAAGAATAAAGCCAAATATACAGTTACGGATGCACTCGAGGACAGATCAATGTGCCCGTAGTCTGCCACGTAACTATAAGCTGATTTTTTTTTGTTATTTAAGAATTTTACGGTTTAATCTTCATCGATGAATTAAATGCATTGACAAATAAGGAGGTTAAATTAAGTTTTTTTAAAGTTTTTTTTTCGTGTCAATGCTACGGAATAATTAATGTACGTTTGGACGGGAGGCAAATAATAATCAACTAAAACCTTGTGTCCGTAGATCCAGCACCAAAGCAATACCTCCCCATTGTAAGTTTAACCTGGCGGCATCTGCGCAAGAGAATGAGGATGAATCAGGCTATGGCATCATTGCTCGAAACAGAGTCGCAGCCACCACAATCACATACACACGTTATATATATATATATATATATATATATATATATATATATATATATATATATATATAAAGAGAGAAACAGCAAACGTTTTTGGTTGTAATGTGGATTTTTAAAAAATATATTATGCTTTATAATATATTTTTTTAAAAAATTTTTGCGGTTCCTCTTTTCTTTTTATTATACATACTTTTCTCTCGTTGGAACTACTATAACCTCTTCCCTTTATTTATATATATATATATATATATATATATATATATATATATATATATAACCTCTTCCTTTCATATATATATTATATATATATATAAAACCTCTTCCTTTATTTATATATATATATATATATATATATATATGTATATAAAACCTCTTCCTTTTATATATATATATATATAATCTTTTCCTATAGATATATATATATATATATATATATATATATATATATATATATATATTCCCTTTTTATATATATATATATATATATATATATATATATATATATAAAACCTCTTCCCTTTATATATATATATATATATATATATATAAAACCTCTTCCCTATATATATATATATATATATATATATATATATATATATATATATATAGTGATTTACGAAGCATAGCTTGCTTGTGTACAAGGCATAGATTAAGGAGCACTCAGAACTCACTATTCAGTCGTAATTGATTTAGAGAGACTAGTTTGTTAACCATTACACCACTTGTTATTTCTTTTATTAATATTGCCTCTTCAGATACATTTATGTTTGGAATTTTATTACATTCACGTATACAAACACACCAACAGAGGCAGATATATTTTTGGAATGTCACAGACAAGTAATTAAAAAAAAAAGAAGAAATTATATTCAATTTTTCTCGTGTCCTTACTTTATTTTCTTTTATGAGGATTAACAATGCGTAGAAATTGTCTGGAGTGATACCATGATCTACAAAGGCAAGATAAACCTTGTAGATAATACTGTCATATTAAAAACATCTAATTGTAAAAGACTTTTAAAGATAATGGAAGAGTATTCTATAAAACAATACGAACCTACAGTCACTATTATCTGCATTGAAACTAGCCATTTTAAATAAATAACAATCGCCGACCACCTGACGATTGCATTATACCTTTAGTCGTGGTCAACCACAGTTTACATGGAATTTATTCATAGATCTTATATATATATATATATATATATATATATATATGGGGGGGCTAGAAAACTCGAAGTCACAATGGCTACAACTGAAAGAAAAGATGAAAAAAGAGAAAAGTCTAAAGAGTCCTTGTAAAAAAAAAAAAAAACGACGAAAAAGACAAATAATCACGACATTCTACACGTACGCCCACCCACGCAGATTAGCGCATGGACGCGAACACACGCA